TGCCACGCCAGACCTGGAGCATCGATTCCCAGGGACGAATCCGCAGCCAGATGTTTGAAGACATGATCCTGGACGTAAAGGGTGAGACCTCGGCAGCAGCACAGGAGCTGCTTTCCCAGGGAGCCCCAAAAATGGGGTGTTTTGCCTTAAAATGGGGCACCCACCCCTTCAGGTCTCTGCCCTCCTAAACCCACCCATTGCTCCGCAGGTGGCCGATCCTACGACCGGGACCATGCCATTGTTTGGGATGTGGCCGAGGAAAGACCCACGCAGACCTGGGACATAGAGGTGCTGTGAGGAGGTGATGTGCGGCCCTCACACCCAGTGTCCCTGTGCCGGGCTGGGTGGCCTCCTACCCCCCCCCCCACATCCCAAACTCTGCTGGCATCGAGGGGCACCCTCATCCCCTCCATCACGAGCAGAACCACCCGGCTCCCTGCTGAGAGCCCCGTACGTGCTTCACGAAGGACCCCATGGACACGACCCCCTGGAGAGCGGCTGAGCCCCCTCCCCACCAGCTCCAGACTGTATTTATGTACGTGTGTAAGATACAGCCCTGCCTGCGTGCTTGGTGTCCTTGTCCTTGCCACAGCCTGGCAGCGCTCATGCTGGGGAGCTGCGCCCTCCACCCAGCCCCGGACCTAATCCTGCTCCCAGGACGGGAGCCCGGTGCCCTCTAGTGCTCATGGGCCACCAGCAGCACCAGGGCCCTGGGGTTTGAGTAGGGAAGCAGGGGCCAAGCTGGGAGCACTGGGGGCTGCTGGACCCCACCAGCTCCAGCCTGTCCGTGCTGCTGCTCTCGTGTTGCCCCAGGGTGAGCGCTGCATCAGCGGAAGGGCTGGATCGTGGCTCAGGTCCCGCACGTCTGAGGTCCCTCGGTCAGGGCTCTTCCACTTGGGTGAGGTAGGAGCTCCCCAGGGACGTGACTCAGAGCCAGAAGGGACACGGGGTGAGAAATCCACTCATGGAGCACTCCCGTCCTTGCTGCTGGGGAGGGGAAACGGCTGCGGGCAAGGGCCTGGTTTGCTGAGCAGGTTGAGCCCAGTCGGGAGAGTCACTGCATGGGGGCAGTGAGCGCTGGTCAACCCTGCAGCAGAACTGGGCAGTTCTGGCAGCAACAGCCTCGCTGGGAGGCTCCTGCAGCAGATTCACAGCACCAAGGTCCTTGCATCAGGCACCTGCAGCCAGCCAGCGGCTGCTCTGGCTTTCAGCAATGGCAAATGTCCACCCCTATGCTGTGTACAGGCCTGTCTGGGCAGCAGGACAGGAGAGCGGCATGTGATGCTTAGGGATGCGGGGCTCCGATACACTCCTCTGCCAGGCCAGTGGGCAGGCGGTTACTGAGGGCCTGAGCCCAAACCCCTGCATGCAGGCAGTGGTGCCAGGCACACGGACATCAAGTACCACAACCCCATCCCCATCCCATGAAGTGGTGCAGGAAGGAGGAAGCCTCCAGAGAATGGGGCAGGGAAGATGCTGCCACCCTGTATGGCCTGAGCTGGGCCTCTGGAGCCGCGGATGCAGATGGATACACACAGGCTCTGTGGGCAGGGATAGCGGCGAGGGGGGGGAAACCTCACAGAGACCCCAGGACACCGAACCCCATAACCAGTACCCAGCCTAACCCCGTCACCCGGTCTTATATACCCACCGCCAGCCCGCGATTGGCCAATACGGGGCTCATGGCAGCGCCGGATTGGTGGGGATCACAAGCCCCTGCGCGGGATTGGCCAGGACTCACGGCGGGGCTGAGAGCGGTGCTGCAAGGGGCCGCCCGGCCTGCAGGGGGCGCCGTGTCCCGTCCCCCCCCCCCCCATTCCCGAGGCGCAGCGAGCCCGGTGCCGCTACACAAGCGCTTTATTGCTGGGAGGCGGCGGGCCCGAGCTGCCCCCGGGGCCGCACGGCACGGACCGGGGTCAAGGCTTCATGGGCGAGAGGCCGGGCAGGGCTGGGGGCTCAGTGCAGCCGCAGGAAGAAGGCAGCGGCCAGCGCCAGGGTGAGCGGGAGCAGGGCCGCGGTGCTGCCGGGAGCGCCCAGGCTCGTCGCGGCGGGGGTCAGCGTCGTGTGCGGGGTGATGCCGAGCCCCTTGTCCGCCTGGCCCAGCGCCTGCAACAGGAAACGAGAGTCAGGCACCGCTCCAGGGGCAGCACGAGGGCAGCCGGGAGCCAGGGCTCGCGTCCTCCTCGCCCCAGCAGCTTCTCCTCCGTGCCACACGCACACAGCCCTGTTTGCCTTCGGGTTTTCCCACCGCAGGGAGCTGCCCCCCACATCAGCGCCTGCCTCTAGCCAGGGGAGGGAAGCGGAAGCTGGGGTGGTCTTTGCCCCTGGGACATCTGCTGCCAGGAAGTGGTCCATGGGCCCTGCACAGAGGATGTAGAGCTGGGAAACACCCGTGCTGGAAGCCAAAGGGAGGAGGGAAGGCCCCTCGTTCCCCTGGGGTGTCGCAAGTGGGGATGCTGCTGACAGCGTGTGAAATGTAACAGTCGGGATGGGGATTTCAGAGCAATTTCCTTCTGCTCAGAGCAGCACCTTCCAAACTAAGATGTTTGTGTGAATGCCTCCTGCCCTGGCTGCCCAGGACCACTCCTTTCTGGGGAACTCTATGTAAGAGGTTAAAGATAACTGCAGTGACAGGCACTACCCTGCCCGGCTGGAAAAGGGACAGCCATTCCCTCTGTGAACCAGCCACCAGGCTGCTTCCCTCCTTGGGTCACTGCGGAGCTGGGATCGGGCCAGGGATGGGACCCCAAGGCCCAGCTCTGCCCCTTCACAGGCACCCTTGTGCAGGGCGGGTGTCAGGCTGGTTTGTCCAGCCACAGATCCAGACTCTCACAAGGTAAATGCACATTAAGTAAATGCACATTAGGTAAATGTAAAGCAGCAGGTCACAGCCCTGGGGGGTTTGAGAGTGAAAAATAAGCACAGATACACCTGGCCCCGTTACCAACACACTGTGGAACAAGCACACCTCCCACCTGCTGCTCTGAGTAGCAATCACCCTCCCCGAAAGCACCAGCTCCTCCATCCCTCCCACAGCACAGTCTCCACTGAGCAGAGAGCTGACATCCATCAGCTTGGCACTTGAACTGAGCCCCATGGAGGGAAGGAAACTACACCCCAGTGGGGAGAGATGAGAGGAAACCACACAGCTGCGTGCCCACCCGGTATCTCCACAGCCATCCTCAGCATCCCCACACCAGGCACAGGCTGGGGCCAGCATGCAGAGAGGCTGCAGGGTGGGTAGAGAGCAAAGTGCTAAGGTTACAGATACAAGTGATGCTCTTGAGTAAAAAAAGGCATTTAAAAAAGCAGTCTATGGAAATATATAGACCTTACAGATCACAGCACAAAGGTGCTGGTAAGACAGCGAGACTTAAAGTCAGAATCATAGAATGGTTTGGGTTGGAAGGGACCTTAAAGCTTGTCCAGTTCCAACCCCAAATATTCAGGTTTCCAGCTGAAGGCAGAAATTCTCCCCCTGGTTGAACCCTACAGCCCCCAACTGCCATAACAGCCGTGGGACAGAGCCGGCTGGACCCTGCAGCTTCTGTGTGCCCCACGCCATGGGGTTTCTCTTACCATGCAGAGGGAAAGCAGGGTGAGCAGGAGGAGCAGGAGAGCGCGCTGGAGGGGCTGCATGGTCGGGGCACGCAGCTCACTGTGCGCTGTGACACTTCCTCCTCTGCTAGCAGTGATGGCAACCGGAGGCTTTAAGCACAGTGGTGGCCCCGTGTCCTCAGTCACACCTCCTTCCCTGCACCAGCCCCACCACTTCAGAGGGCTGTTTGAAACCAGGGTGAATTGGGGAAGTCACATCTGCTGCCAGTGCTGTGAGGAAGAGGGTGCAAGACAGCAGGGGGGGTCTCCAGGCAGTGACACCAGTACAGCCCTTTCGGCCTCAGTTCTCTGCAGCCATCGATCTCCATCACCCAGGACAAGAGCAGCTCCTCTTCCACACCACGGCCACGCAGCCACTGACTCCAGCACAAGCAGCGAGCCTCTGGGCCTGCCTTTACCCACATCACAAAATACCACCTGCAGCATGAACCCCTGTGTCCGAGCTCTGCTTCTCCCTGCCCTGTGCCCTGCAGCCACGAAGGACTAACAGTGGATATGGGTTAACCCCTTCTGGATCACTGGGAGGGTTCTGCCAATTGTGGCCAACGTTTCAACCAAGAACAAAGCTCTTTCCATGCAGCTGGGGCAGGAGCTGGGTCTGAGCTCTGAATCTCAGTTACACGCCTGGGGTGCTCTGATCCGGATAACAACGAGGGAAACGCTCCATTGCAGCCCCCCAATATCCATCTCCTCATGAGCAGGTCTCGGAGCTCCCTCACCCACTCAGCTGCAGCAGCAGGAAACAGAGGGGACCTGGTTATTTTAAGATGGTTTGACATAAGGTAGTGAAATGTGCCAGGCTCATCTGGCTGCTGCCGGGTTCTGCATTGCTGAAGCACATCACGGCACAGAGGGGAAGGCTCCTCTGCTGCAGAGCTTCTCCCAATTTCCTTGCTCTTTGCACTTCATGCACACACGGAAAGGAGCCTCAGGCGCAGCCAGCATCCCACCGAGGGGCTGTAAACGAACCTGCTCCCTCCAGCGGGGGAGGCTGAGCTCTCTGGAGCAGCACGGACACGGTGGGCAGAACCAGCGAGGCGAAACCAGCGTGCGGGGACCGAGCAGCGCCCGGTGATGGAACCCGAGCGGTGCCCCGGGCCAGGCCCTGCCGCGCTTGTGCCTGCGAGCTGAGGCCAAAGGCGTGCAGAGGGGGCTGAGGGAGGGCAGCGCGGTCCTGCCCCAGCACTGGGAGCGTTTGGAGCGCTCCGGGTCCTCTCCTCGGAGCGGGCACCCCCCGGGGCCTGTCCCTGCCCCAGGCGCGGGCACGGGGCTGGCGGAGGGGCCCCCGCAGAGCTCCGGGCCCGGCCTCAGCCGGGGAGGTGGGAGGCAGAGCGATGCATGCTGGGATGTGTAGTCCCCGTGCTGCCTCGCCCTCCACATGACCAAGGCTGAGCCAATCGCAGCGGCCCTCCGTCGCCGTGGCAACCGCCGGTAAACAAGATGGCGGAGGGTGAGTGCTGCGGGGAAGCGGGGGGACCCCCGAGGTTTGGGGACCCCCCCCCGAACGCACCGGGGTGCACCGGGTGCTGCCACCCGCGTTGGGACCCCCAGGACCCCCCCACAGGGCGGCATCTGGGTACCCCCGTCATTCTGAGACCATTTTTGCTAGCGGCCTTCTGGGCCCCACGTCATGTTCTGCAATGGTTGTAGCTCTTTTTCTCCTACACGTGTCCAAAATCAGATGAGAAACCAAAGGTTTCCACATCCTCAGCAAGACCTAGAGAACATTAAAGCCTCATCTATTTTTACAGCTCTATTTTAGGTCACATCCTTCCTACTACATCTTAGAGCAAAATCTCCCTTTCCACTGCCAGTGAAGCTTCTGTTAACCCCAGCGTGTTGGGCTCTTTGTTAGAATAGCTCAATATTACCACTTGGTGCAGGCAGGATGCTCTCTACAAGCTCTTTCTACAAGCCCCATTTTGTGTTCAGTCTTCCCAGCTGCTGGGATTGCACCTTCCCTTGGGTCCTGGCTCATAACAAGCTCCCACATACACTCACTAGGCTGGGAGTGCCTATGGGATTGAATGGGCCCACCCTGCTTTCTCCTGCCCTCTCCTCCCTTCAGCATAACCCCAGTATTCCTTTACCTGCTTGTGAAGAACATGCAGCTGAAACACTGCCCTGTTTTCTTTCCTTCGTGCTCTTCGTGCCTCTCCTCAGAGGATGCCAGCCTGCCTCTTAGGACAGAGAATCCAGAGCAAGGCAGCCTCCCATCGCGTTCAAAGGAGACAACACTGGAAAAGAACATGCAGGGTAAAAGTCCTCAATGATCAGGGGTTTCTGGGCCATCCCAGTCTCTCACTGACAGTGTGGTGGGCTCAATACCCCAGGCCAGGGCTAATCCCCCCCCAATCACACAACCCTGTCAGTAATACAGCCATCTCCCTAAGGAATTCCTACCCAGTACCCCCCAGAGGGACCCTTGTCCTACCTGCTCTGGCAGAACAGGAGTTCTTGCATGGGGTCCCCTGTGGTGCAGAGGATTAAATAACAGATTTGTGCTTTCAGACACAGCTCACGCTGACACGGAGCTCCAGTCCTCCCTGATGCAAAAAATCACTCTGTTGGAACAAAAAATAGTGGAGCAGGCACAAGAAATCCAACTGAAGGTAAAAATCCTGCCCTTACTGAGCCTGTTTTGTGCCCTGCTTTGATGGTAAAGCCACAGGAGCATTACACCTCTCAGACGTAGTTTGCCTGAACCAAGTTCATCACAACCTCCTCTGTTACACAAACAAGCCTTTTCAAAGCACCAGAGCAACTGTGTTGGTCCTTGGGTTGGGAGAATGAACAGTCCCAAGTGATCACTCTGAGCACCCTGTCTCTGGTATCAGCTCTTTGACTTCAGCCCTGGGTTTTCCTTTTGCTTTCCAAGACAACAGCTGCTCATACAGCAGAGCCAGCCTGGGGCAGACCCCTCTGCATGACTGCAGCTTCCAATGAATACCCTTTTATATCTGGTTTTGAAGAGGTGGCTGCAGAGGTGCTGGTTTCATTTCTAGATTAGCTACTTCTTATAGGGCAGAGCACGAGCCTGAGCAGGAAGCAGGAGCCTGGGTGTTTCCCTACAACTCTTGTGCAGACGAAGGAGGGGGAGGTAGGTCAGGGTTCTCTCACCTATCCTTGGAGCAGTGTATTTATATCCCACACCCCATTTGAGTCTAATTTGTGAGGTGATACAGCCTTTCTGACCCTTACTCTTCTCTCTCTGAACGGAGTGAGAGGATGTGCACCACTGACTCACCTAGCCAGGACTAATTGTGCAAACGGTGCCTTGAGGTCCTGAAGACCAAGGAACTAAATAAGATCATTATCTGCTCTGGTCCTGAAGGACAGGAGGATTGCTGAGCTTGAAGAGAAGATGAAGACCCTTCAGAAAGAAGCAGGTAAAGATTATTCTACCCTTGGTGCCTTGCTCTTAACTGTGGGAGAGTACAGAGCTCCTGGTACTGCAGCAGAGCAGTGGAGACCTCCTCTCTAATGCCTCCTTTCCTTAATAGCCCAAGAGCTTCTTCAGTGAGTGGTATCAGTTACACAGACATGGTGCTTTCTGCCAAAGCAGATCCACACTTTATACCCACATCAAGCCCAGGTTGGACACTCCAGTGGAAGGTGTTCCTGCCCACAGCAGAGGATTGGAACTGAATGAGCTTTAAGGTCCCTTCCAACCCAAACCATTCTAGGATCCAGTGCTCAGCTTTTCTGGTGCAGTGCAAAACACTATTTCCTGACCTATTTTCTGTGGCTTGCTAAGTTTCCATGAGCATAAACCAACCACACAGGAAAACACCCAAAACAAACCAGTAAATACTGCAGAATTCAAACAGGCTGGAAACCAGAGCCACTCACAGCTGAGCAAACACACAACTCTGCTTGGGATCTCAGGGAGGATTCCAGCCCAGGCTCCCTTGTCCTGGGAGGCAGCCTAACTTCAGATTGAGGCCAGCTGTGAGTGAGTCACTGAAGGTCTTTCCCCCCATTTAGTTCCTTGGAATCCAGCAGCTTCTCCAGCTGAGCCCAGGCACGTTTCCTCCAATGGCTGACCTACCTTGTAAGCACAAAGCTGGAGTAAGCTCTCGATTTCCTGAGCAGAGAACACAAATATGCCAACCACAGGGATGTGTTTTATACCTCATTATGCATTGTTCTAGCCATTCAGGCCAGGTTTCTCAACCCAGCTTTAGTGGACACCTACTAATTTTATTAATAGGTCCCTTAAGACTGAGCAAGCAGAGCAATTCTCATTGTTTAATTGCCAACAGCACCACTCACATCAACCTCCTGCAGCAGAAAGCTTCACCACTACCATCCACAACTACTTTTTAGTCTGGCAGCATCTTTGCCAGACTGCTGCAGGTTGAATTGTCAGGGACCAGCATGCAGAGTTCATGTTCAGCTCCTGTGTCTGATGGACTTGAGTACTGATGGGTACAGTCAGGTGCTGCTGGGGCATCCATGCTGTGTGACACAGGTTATCTATAGCTCTTCTTTAAGGTTGTACATATTAAAACCAAGACTTCCTTTTCAGATCCTCCTGACTCATTCACAACAGAGGAACTGGAAATGAGGTGCCTTCAGCTGCAGCTCCAGGTCTGGCAGATGGAGGTGAGACACCTGCTTCACTTGCCCTAAGCCATCTGCACCTCTGGTTTGAGATCACTGCAGTCCCAGGCTGCTCAGGCTTTTTCAAGCTGCCACTTTGATCACCACAATTCACCACCTCACCCCTCTGAAAACAAAGAACAAGTTGGATGGGAGCTACAGGGCAGCAGGAAATGATACCCAAACATCTGTGCCTCCTGCAAGCCTCTTCATTTTGATTTCTAAGGCTGCAGAAATACTCTTTGCAGCTACTACAGCCCTGGGACACTACTGTAGCACTACAGATACCTTCATTCTCCCTTTTGCCTACTACTAGTAGAGCTGCTACTACTACTGGCCCCTGCCAGGGCCAAAGAACCCCAAGAGAAACCTCTTTCACCTCTCCTTCTGCTTCTCATGATCTCAGCTGACCACTCTCAGGCTCCCATCTCTAGTTCTCTGAAGCTCTGGTCTACAACACTGCCTTGTGCTTTCCTCTCACAGCAGTTTCTGAGTGACTATGGTCTGATTTGGGTTGGAGAGAGACCTGAAGAACTGGAAGATGTAGAATTGCCCAAGGATGAAGAACAGCTGCCAGGAAGGAGCTTCTGGAAGCCAGGTAAAGCATCAGCACTCCTTGCTGAAGCAGTTATCCTAACTCCCATTGCATGCTTAGAGAAGGGGTAATACTCCCCAGAGTAGATCAGCAGCAAAGACCCAGAATTTGCATCTTCAGAATCTGTGATCCTTTGCTGAGGTATCACCTCAGCCCATCTCAGGAACAGAGACACGGAGCCATTGAGCAGGAGCTAAGCCAGGCAGAACACTGGTGGTTTATACATCAGCATTTTGTAAGCCTCATTTAGGGGATGAGGAGAGAACCCAATGGCTCAGCCATTTGGAAGGAGACCCTCAAAGCAGCTGCTTCCTGCAGAGGTCACATACCCTGAATGCTTGAAGCTTGATTGCTCCAATAACACTGACATTAAGTGGGTGGAAAATGGAATCAGACACTTTGTGTATATTGTAGCTGTAGTAACCTACCCATATTATCTGGCTCCATCACAGAGTATTGTTTGCCTTTTCTCCCAGCCAACATGTGAGTGGTTTAATAGAGACCTGCTTGTGGAGAATGGGGTCCAAGCATATTTGGCAATAGCTTCTTAGGAAGTGGTAACAGAGGGGGAAGAAAAAAAGAATACTTGGGCTGTAGAGCCAATGCTACTTCCTAACTGCTATGCAAATATCAGCGAACTAATCCTTCCCTCCCTCAGATGCAGGAGGGGAGAAAAGGGGGGAAGCAGGAGGGATTTTCACTGTTTTCAGCTCATGCTTTTTAAAGACTATTCCCCAGCCCTCCTTCATCAGATTGTAAAAAAGCAGAACAGAAACCACCAAAGGCTTCACCCTCTCTCGTTTCCTCTCCTGATATCATTCTTCTGTCCCATCACCACTCTTACCTCACCCTCCCCAAGCACCCAGATAAACATCCTCAGCAGTGTACCAGCAAGAGAGAGCAACCTGCAGGTGGCAAGCAGCAAGCACACCTGCCCCTGTTTACACTGGCATTTCCCCAAGGAGTCTGCCCTGATCCCTTTATCCATCCCACTTAACCCAACCAGTTCTGCTCTTCACTGTGTATTTTACAGCACCACATCAAGGGACAACAAAACACTTCGGAAATGACAACCAAAGACAAGGAGCTGAGCATGGTCTCTAAAGAGCTGCCTGCATCTGGAGTTACATTAGCTGGTAGCAAAGGGCTGTTTCCCTGCTGCCCTGCCCCTGCGGTTTTGCACACACACCCATGCAAACCTGGCACTGTTGTACCACAGCAGCTCAGTGTTACACCACACTTTGCGAAAGCATGAAGGGCAAAGCATGGAGAGGCAGCAGAGACACCCCCCAGTGTCAGGGCTCAAATGCACCTCAAATTCAGACAGAGCTGAAAGCTGCTGAGCTGGTGTCCCCTTCCCCCTGTAACCCTGGTCCCTCTGCCGCAGGTGAAGCAGTTGTTCCCCAGCACCACATTGATTTTGATGTACTCTTGGAGAAGGTGAAGGATCTGAACTTGCTGGCTGGAGAGGGCATCTCTCACATTGAGCACAAGCCTGGGGGAGCTCGGCTCAGGCAGCCAGAACCCCTCCCTCTCACACTGTATCAGAATGGGATTGTCATGTCCAACGGACCCTTTCGGCCCTATGAGGACCCATCCACACAGGTATGGAAGGGTCTGTAGGGGAATCAGACGTAAAGCCATCCTGCTATAGTGTTCACTAAGCCCCTGGAAAATGGATAGGAATAAGACCTGTGAGCTCATCTCAGTCCTAAAGAGCATCTAACAGGGACCACCAGCTTCTCACCTGCATCCCTTTAAAGGCTAGCATGTCTTTGGGGGGTAGTTTTTAAGAGATGAGATTCTAGGTCTTTTATGTAGACTTTTCTGCACAGCAATAACACCACAAATAGGAACAGCCCAGAAGGAATGTATCAGCCATGAGATAAACAAAGTCTGAGGTATGCCCACAAGCTCTCATTTCGTTTCAGCAATGCCTACAGGATATTATGGATGGCTATTTCCCTTCGGAGCTGCAAAAGCGTTACCCTGATGGCATCCCATTGCAGGTAAAGCAGTGCAGAACTTGTTCAGCTTTTCTCAGCAGCCTGCTGGATGCTCCCCACAGCAAGTTCAGTTTGAGGTTTCTGGAGGCAGCAAGACTGTCTACATCAAGATTAACTCTGTGCATGCGTGTCTCAGGGAAAGGGTGGCTGGGAACACACCTGCCAGAGCCGTTACAGGAAGTGAGGGAGGGTTTCTGCATCGAGACTCAATGGTTGCTCTGCCTCAGTGAATCTTGGCTCAGAACAAGACTTCTGAGAGCACAGCAGGCTCTGTAGGAGAGAAGCAGCACGTGCATGTGAAGAGCTGTGGAACAAAGGAGAAAAGGGAAAGCTTTTAAAACAAGATTGAGCAAATATCCATCAAGGAGGATGTTGGGGGTTTATTTTGCTACAATTTCAGTGGATCTTGGCCACCTGAGCTTCTTTTAGGTCCCACTTTTTGATTTCTCAGAAATGGCAAAAAGCCAAGGCCACCTTTTCAGGCAGGAAGCAGGCAGAGAGCCTCAGAGGACTCTAATCTAGCTCTTCACATGCTTCTAACCAGAGGGGTGCACTTACCCTCTGCCACGAAGAAAGCAGGGCAAGGATGAGGTCAGGACAGGCAGGGTGAGCTGTAGGTGCCACAGGTAGAAAGTCAGCTGGAGTAAGGATTGTGCAAAGCTCTCGGGGCTGTGGTTCCCTATAATCCATGCATAGCTGGTGCGTCTGGAAGCCACAGGACACTACAGTAATCTGCAGTAAACACACACACAGAGTGCACCCACCTGTGGTTTGTTCAGCCAATGTAAGACTAACAGAAGTGGAACCCAGACACACAGAGCTGGTATTTCCACAGCCTGCCCCACTGCTGAGTGCATTCTGCCTGCCTTGGTTCATCAGAGCCACCTGACAGTCCTCACTGCAGCCTCTCATGGCCAGATCCCTCTCCAAGCCCAACCTGCTGCTTCCACAGCACCTTCCACCTGCAGAGTGGGAAGGGGTTAGGTCCAAGCATATTTCTTCTAACTGTCATGCCTGTGGAGCTGGATGAACAACTACCCTGCAGTCTGGGTGGGCCATCCCAGCAACCTGGGGGATACACAAGGATTTGCTTTGTTAGAGAGCCTATAGGAGCTGGAAATGCATTTCATTTGATCAGAAGCAGCTTTCGTGGGGTTTACAACTCTTGGTTGTCATTGCTGTTGGTTTATTGTGCTTTGATGCAATGAGAACAAACTTGTCCAACTGTTAAGATCTGCTTATGGTGGCTGGTCTTAATTCAACAGGTCACTGACAGAAGAGACGTGGTATTTCAGGAGAGACACCCTCCAGGGAGCTTTCCTGGTCATGGCCAAGTGGTTGGCCATTCAAAATCAAGTGAGGTGCAGGAAACCACCCAGATCCCAGGTAAATTCTTAAACCTTTGGTTCTCCTACAAGCTCATTCTGTAAAGGTGGACATCTTCAGGCCAGGCTGATCTTTAACTATACTGAATATGGGGTGATACCTCTTCAGGCTTTCATAAGAGAATATAGGACATAAGGTCAGGTCCCAGATTCCTCATTTTGCTTGTAGACTCCAGAAGTCTGTAAGCAATACCTGGCAGGACTTACATCAAATGCAGTCAAGTCATACAGACAGAAAAGAGTGGGTTTGTGCATGTGTAACTGAACAACCCAAACATGTGCAGTGCCCATCAGCAGCATCTTCCTGTTTATGCAAAACTGTACTACTTGCTTGCTCATCTCAAGGCACTCAGACAGAAGCTGTGCTAAATGTTTCCTTTATCTGAGTAGCAAAGAAAACATACCTGTCCACTGCCACACCACAGGAAAGGGGACAGACACCTATGAATACACCCTCACGAGATGGGTCTAAAACCTGACACAGTTTCAGTTTTCCCTGTTCACAGCAGGACTAACCGGGTTTCAACCTGTTGTGCATCCCAGCTGTGCGCTGCACAGGCTGCGCAGCTGCTCACTGCTGAGGTTGACAGTGGAACATTTAATGGGTCAGAAAGTGGGACAAGCTTCAACGACGGAGACTGAGCCAGCCCGAGGGTGGCTAAGGGAGGTTAGAGCTCTCTCTGTCTGCTAAGGGAGGTTAGAGCTCTCTCTATCTGCTAAGGGAGGTTAGAGCTCTCTCTGTCTGCTGTTGTGCTCTCTCATCGCAAACCCAGCCTGTTCTGAGGGCAAACTGTTTGTCAAAAAGGTCACCCATGGACACATCTCCTCCCTGCTTCACCAGGTCCCAAAATCGCCTTGGAGCAGCTTCTCAATGAGCTTTCCAAGCCCTTGAAACACACAGAAGAGGCAACTGGTGCCCACAGCTCAGCCAGAGCAGCACAGCAGGTACGAGCGGATCCCCCAAACACCTTGAGAAGGTGCCAGCGGTGATTCCATGGGCTCATCACCCTACACAGCACCAGCACCCCTTCCCTTGGGCCTCTCCGAGCTCTGCATAAACCTCCTCCTCGCAGAGAGGCTCCACCAGAGCACACGTGGCACCCTGGCACCTTCTGGCTCTGGCTGCTCTCTGTGCAGAGCAGGCAGCAGTGACACTCACCTGCTTTGCTTTCAGGCCTCTGGAGGGGTGCGCAGCAGCAAGGAGATCCTGGTGGAGACACCCAGGCTGCCTGCCCTGGAGAGGTACAGGCACGGCCCCTGCCCTGTCAGGCTCTCATCTGCCTCCTATTATTTCCTACTTCCTCCTCAACACTGTGGGTTTCTGTTCAGGAAGTAAATGGAGTTGTTCCTTTTACACCTTAGAAATAGAAAGAAAGGTGAAGGTTGATCTTTTGGGAAGACCATTGAATTGCTCATGGCAAACTTGCCACCTTTTACAGCTCCAACAAAAAGCTGCTGTTGTTCAAACTGCTACTTCCTGCTGTGAAATAGCTTTCTCAACAGCAAACCAAGGCCTCGGAGTTTGAAACCATCTAAGAAGCTGTTTGTGATCAAGTTAAACAGGGGAATGCTGCCAGGAGAGTGATGCCCAAGTGGGAGGTCACACAACCAGCACTTTTCCACTCATTCTGGCAAGACAAGACCCAAATAGAGAATGAAAAAAAACCCCAAGCAGATTATTTTTAACCAAAGAAGTAGGGCAAGGAATTTACCAGACAGCCTGATCTAAAATGAAAGAGCTAAGAAAGGTCAACAACCCTCTTCTCAAAGCAGTGGCTTGCTCTGTGGGTTGGTCTGCTCACACGCAGTCATCTCAAGGACATTCCCAGATGTGAAGCACCTTCTCCCTGGTGAGGTGACCCAGGCTCTGCCATTAGCACAGCACTGGCTCCTCGACTGATGAGGTTCTCTCACCCCCAGGGTGAAGGTGGCTGAAGAGGCTGAAGCCCCTGCCCCTGGTGTCTGCACTCTCCGCATCAAATCAGAGAGCGGGGAGCAGACGTACATCGTAAAGATGCTGTTCACAGAGACCATTGGGGACCTGCGCCAGCACCTCGCCCGTGCCAGGTAGGCCTAGGGCTTGCTCCCCTCCTTACCCAGCTCCATAGAGCCCTAGGGAAGGTTTCCCAGCTGCTGCTCAAGGCCCTGGAGCTGTGCTTCAAAGACATCAGCCCCAGCTGAGCAGGGCTGAGGGTTACAGCCCCAGGAGCTGCCAGCACCCCCTGAGATCTCTCTAGGCAGCACTGCCAGGGTCACACTTAGCTCAGAGCATTTAATACCCACCCTTGCCAAAAAGCTGGCACAGGCACAAATAAACCTCCTCTGTTCTCTCAGAATTGCCACCTGAGCCAGGTCCATCCCTGCCTTTGCCTGCTTCCAGCCAACTATTCCCACCATTCCCAATGAGGTGGTGCAACCTCGAAGCTGAGCTGCAGCCTTCAGTTTGGCTGATGGATCTGCTGCTGGATAAACACCCCACTTCGCTCAGCCAGCTCTATATCCCAGTGGATTTAATGCTGCCCAAGGGCTCTCACACCTCTCTGGGGACAGTTCCAGATGGCTGGAGAACCCCTTTGTTCTCCTCTCTTTCCACTCCTGTTGCAGGCCATAGCCCTGGCCTCAGCCTGAGCCCAGGATGAACTCACCACTGTTGACATGCAAAAGCCTCCTTCCCACTGCAGCTGTGCAGCCTGCAATGGCCACTCTGTGCCTGGCTGTTGCATGTTGGGCAGGAAGCCCTTTTTTCTGCTCAGCTTGCGCTTATGAAATGGTCTCTCCTCCTTTCATAACCACAGCTGGATCAGCCAGGGGGTCCCTCAAAACCTGGGGGATCCTGCCTGTAGGAAAAGCTGTGCTGTTCTCTCCTAGGGGTGGAGACTTCGACTCATATGAGATCATCAGCACCTTTCCCCAGAGGGTGTACACGGACAACTCACAGAGCCTGCAGGAATGTGGCCTGACCCCCAACGCCTGCTTGCTGCTGCAGAGACCCCTGCCAGCCAGAGGGCTGCAAAAAGCTTAACAACTCCTAGCAAGAGCTGCTCACCCAAATTCTGCAAGAGGAAGGAGCTGCCTTGCACCTTTAGCTGTGTTATAACCTCCCCTGGCTGGGAAAAGAGGAGAGGGGTGACTTTTCAGACTTAAGTTTCATTGTGCTGTTACCTGGGACAGAGAGCAGTGCTCAGAGGCAGCAGGTTGATGCTCTTCCCCAAGACCACTGGGCTCCTAATGCAGGGGGCATTTCTGTCAGCTCACACCCAAGCCCGGTTTCCTCATCTCTGCTGAAGGTGACACAGGTTGATGCCAGCCCAGGGAAGGCCACCAGCTTTACACTGGTCCTGCACAGTGGCTTAGCTCAGGGATTCTCTACTGCAGCAGGACAGACAAACAGCCAGGGTCAATTTGCTTTCCACACACAGCTGCTCCCCAGCGATTTCACCTGCCCTTACACATGAGATAAACAGGCTCAGTTGTATGGTCCCTGGTGAAGCTGAACCAAAAGGCTTTGAGCCGTTGCAAGGCTGGGTCTGAGCCAGGCTCTGCTCAGCCAGGAGATCCTGCTGCTGGGTTTCCTGTGCGTGAACAACTCCTTCCCTTGGACAGCCCCCAGCTCCGGCGGGGCCCCGGCTCACAGCCACACCGAGCTGCCAGCCTGGCTCCCTCCCTCCCTGCTGCAGCCACGGGCTGGATGCTGCAACAGGACACCGTGTCATTGGAGAAGAGCATAATCCCACTGCTGCTTCCCTGCTGAAGCATGAATAAAGCATCTTCCTCCCTCTCCCGTGGGCTGGGGCTGTGCTCTGCAGGCCCTTTTCCAGGCACATTCTTCCCTTTTCAGCTGTGACAAGCTCCCACTTGACTCCCAGCTGACAACACTCCCACTTGCATGAGGCAGCACCTCCTGGCTGGTTCCCTTTCAGCAGAGACCCAGGCCTCAAAGCTCCCATAAAACCACTGATTTCAGTTGCAGTTTCCAGTCCCATTACATTTCAAGGGCACAGTTGCTGCGGGAGGGGGCAGGATACACGGGGCTCTTCCCAGACCACTCCAACCGGAGCCAGGCCCTGCACAACTCAAGTACAGGAAGCTCCACTCCTCCAAAGCAGCAGCTTCCACAGGTTCCCCATGACTCAATCCCCACAGCTCCAAGTTAGTTTCCTTCCTTTTCCACCTACAGCAGATATAGGAGCATACAAGGACTCTCCTATATAGGGCAGCCTTTTCCACTGCCCCTCTAAACCCCGGTATGTAATCAACCAGGTCATCTTTGTGCCTGGCTGAAGCTGTTCTCCTCGGGGCTGCTGCTCTCACCACACAGAAAAGAACACTTGAGAGAGGTACCTGTCACTACTGTGCTGTAGGATATTCACAAGTCCTGTGAGTCTTTGATTAGCAGCAGAGAACTAAGGTGTTAAGATGTTTGTGTCAGGCTGCGTCAGTGAGTACAACCGACTCGGCTTCTCTGAGCTGGAAATGACTCAGAATCATTACGTAGGGTGACGTTTAACCTGTAGCCAAAATAAAACCAGATTTAAAAGAAACCCACCAGTACCAATGTGAAAGGTACAGTAACATTTAATAGCATCTCGAAAGACAACACTGGTTATAAACTTCCTTTTTGGCAGGAAAACAAAATGCACTTGGTCCGGGTTGCAACAAAAGCCAACTTAAAGAGGAAAGATAAGACAACGGAGCATCAGCTGTGCTGGAGCAGCCCTGAGCCATTAACACTCACTAGGGAGCCCTGGCACCAGAGCAACACAGGTCCCACCTCTAGGCCCATCCATCCTCCCCATGCAGCCTGCTGAGCAGCTCCAGCCTTCACCCCAGCCCTGGGCCTCCCTGGTGGATGCTCAGACCCCAGCTCTGTGCAGTATTTTTGCATTAAATTAAGACAAACCCCCCCAAAACAGGACTTAGTTGCCATAATCTGTGCAGTTGAGATGAATTTAAAAAAAAAGTAAAATAAAAAAGGGAAGTGAGGCAGCAGGGTTTACAATTTAACAGCAACTGGGACAAGTGGGAAGTAACATCAACCCTAAGCCCTTCCCTCCTGAAGCAGAAGCTCTCCCTGCAGAGGCGAGGGCTGACAGATGGCTGCACTTCACACAGCCCCAGAGGCTTTGCTGTGTACAGAGGCACTGGAAGCTGCCGTGAGCCAGGCCCAGCTTTGCTCACAGGCCATGCGCAGCGAGCATCAGACTTTCTTTGGATCCCTCTGAGATGATACCAGGGTTAGGCAGGAGGGAATCGCAGGCAGCTGCAATGAGTAGTTTTGGTCATGGGTTTCCCTGTGCTGGGATATAGGTCGTGGTGTCAGGACAGCGCTGACAACCTGGAAGTGAAGGTGGTCGGAGATGAGGGTGCTCAGGGATGCAGGTAGAGTCCAGGATGAAAGGGGAGCCCAGGGCTCAGGCCAACTTCAGGAACTCCTGCAGGGTGTTTTGCTCCACTGCTTCCACAAAGAGCTCATAATCCTGCAGGGAAAAGCCACAAGTCACTCACAAGGCAAGAGCAAGGGGGCTGCTCGCACCGGTCCCTTGAGCACGCAGCGCAAACCAGCTCAGGGCACAGCTGTGTGAAGAATGACGGGATGACATGAGGACAGCCCCACACAGCACAGCCCCGCTGCCCACCAGCATCCCACATCCCCCTGCCCAGGACCCCTTTTCCACAAGCCACCATGCTCCATTGACCCTGGCAGCACCTTGTCCGTGTGCCTCACAAGGAGATGCTTTCTGAAAGGCATCCTGACACCATTTGTAGCAAAAAGGAGGGGACTGGACTGTGCCCACCACCACCCAACCTCCACGGTGCTGAGCACAAGCCTCACCCCGCAGTAGTGGTCTCCGTTGACGATCTGGGGCGGGATGGCTTTGGGGTTCCCGGCCTTTGCCCTCATCTCCTCCCGCAGAGCGTTGTCCTGGGAGATATCCACCAGCTCGTACTTGATGTTCTTCCCATCGAGGATTCGGGTTACTTCGCTCTGTTGGGATTTGATCTGGAAGCCGGGCGGGAAAGGCGGGTTATGGGGAGCTGGAGAGGAGCCCGACGGGCGGGCACGCACCCCAGCGTGCCAGCCGCACTCTGCAAGCGCTCCTGGATCCAGACCGCACCCGGCCGCGGGGCTCGGCCCTGCCTGGGGCTCCGGGGGGCACCCAGCGCGGAGGGATGGATCCGGTGCAGCGAGAGCAGGGGAGGGGACTCCAGGGATGGCTCCGAGACGCCCACCCCAGGGAAGAGGGGCCCCGGGACGCGCAGCCCTGCCCCAGCGGAGCCCGGGCCGCCGCCGCCGCCGCTCACCTCCCGGGAGCCGGTCACCGAGGTGCTGTAAACCTTGAGGGTGCTCATGCTGCGATCGCGGCCGCTCCCAGCGCTCAGCACGGCCGAGGGAGGGAGGAAAGGAGGGAGGAAGGGAACGGGCGGCCCCGCCGCCGCCCTGCATGTGACTGCGGGGACCAATGGGGCCGGCGGGCCCGGGCATGCGGCATCGGCGGGGCCCGGCCCCGGGGAGCCACCGGCGCACCGCCCCCGGAGCAGGACTGGATCGCACGGGTGGAGCAGAGCAGCTTTATTTTATACTCAAAACGCTCAGTACAAACAAGCGGGCGAGACAAAGGCCGGTAGAAACACACAGCGCCCGACGCGATGGGGGAGACGCAGGCAAACACGGTGAGAATGGGGTCCTGCTGCCCCTCTCTGGGGTGCTCTGTAAAGAAGAGGCCCCGAGTTTCCCCTGCCCGGAGAGCAGCAGCCCCGTACAGCAGCAGCCGCGTACAGCAGGCAATCACACCTTAGCCACACGGGTCCAGTCTGCAGGAGGAGAGAGGAACACAGAACCCGGGGTCCCCCAGCTGCTGGGGCAGGGCCAGGCAGAAGGCTCCCAGCATCAGCTGAGCTGGTTTCAGCCACGATCTCATTGCACAGAGGGCAATCGTGTCCCTGCACAGCACCTGCGAATTAAATCTTGCACCCTACACTAGGGAAAGGGGATGGGGCCAAACAGCACCCTAGCGAGAGAGTGACTCACAGCTGATGCTGCTCTGCACCCCAGTGCCTACAGAGCCCCCAGCAGCAAGGACAAACGACCTTAGGAAACAGTCTTGGCCCACATTTAGCTCAGTACATGGCGGCAGCATCCTGGGAACAGAAAGGGCCTGAAACATAATACACCCGACAGAACAGGGTGCAGACACTGACATGCAGACAGAACAGGGCAGACACTGCTGTGCTCTCTCCCTGTGCCACGCAGGGGGTGGCTCAGGACAGCAAACTAACCACCTCCCTGCCACCATCACCTATGGTGGCCAAACAAAGAGCTAAGAACAAAACAGATTTGGTCTTAAAGAAAAAGAGGAACATCGAAAGCATTTCTCCCAAACTTAGGGCCTGCAGCCCCATCATGAACCAAGAAACAACCAACAGAAGTTTCAGCAGTATTTTCTCTCCTGCAGTACAACTGACTGACTATCCTGCTCTTAAGCTGAAAACCAAGTTCCACCTACAGCACCACAGCATTGACACAAGCAAGTGCTGCGGAGCTGTCAGTAGGTTAATGAGGGTTGTGATGAAGCAGATCACATCCCATACAGATTCATTTAGAAGTCCCATTATTTAGCAGAGGAACAGGGGGTTCCCAGAGATCAAGGGGCATGGCTACAACAAAGCCCAAGTGGTCACTGCCTTGCAGGCAGCAGGAAGAGCTTTCAGACCCAGCTGTGCCATCCTGCCATGGTAGGACCAGAATGGCTTTCTCCCTAGCAAGCTGAGGGCCAAGCAGAGGTGCACATCCCCGCTGCCCTGGGCAGGTCACCTGCAGTGCAGAGCCTCTGGGTGGTTCTAGAGGCTTCTACAAGAAACAGCAGTTTTGCCCCTTGCCAACAGATGCATTAGCATGGGGATAGGAGGTTTCTCATTAAGGCACTTCAGCATCAATCTGCTTCCTCTGCAGCCTGAATCATACCCACAAACAGAGTGCTATTTTGAGGGGATAAAAGGCTTAAGGCATCTGGGGTACCAATGCCCAGGGGGAGCATTTTCAGAGTCTTCCTTTAGTGTTGCTTTATTCCCCAACTCCTCTTAACTACTGAAAGACTCCAGATGTGTTTACCTGAGGAAAAAGCAGGTCCTGCTCCACAAATAGTCCCTGAACACCCCAATAATCCTCTGGTCTTCCGAGTCACACAGGAGCTGCACAGAGAATTTATCAGGAAAACCAGGGCATACATTTCCTTTCAGTGATAATTTTAACTGTCACATTTGCATGTTCAGCATTTGACATGCCTGGAAGGCAATTCAGAATTCATCTCCCAGCATCAGAGACCACACCAGCTCCAGCAAACACAGCATAAACACATTCCACAAGATCAAAGCTACTGCAAAGCCTGACACCAAAGCCCTGAACGATTCCAGTTCAGCAGCTGAACACTTCTGGCAAACAAACCCCCTGGATTCTCATGGATTGGATAAGTCACACATCTTGTACCCGAGCAAAGGGATGGTAAAGTGCTGAATAGGTTTTGAGTTGTAGGAGCTCTAGACTCCTGAGAGTTTCAAGTCTTCATTTTCTGTCTTACTTTGGGAGTAATTCTTTACTGGGTGATGCAGTTGTCTCCCATGTCCTGAGCATATCTGTCAGATATTGCCGTCCTTAAGTCCTCCACCTCTTTGTGAAGCTGTTTTACCTCCACCAGTTTCTTTGCAAGTCCGTCAGGGCTCAGTAAGTCATCTTTCTCCTTAGCAGAGTACTGCACAGCTGTGGGGTCAGAGAAGGGAGTCACCTCAACATGTAATAGTGACCAAGGATCACACACATTTGCAAGTGAGGCAGAAAATGCAATGCAGGTTTGCAAAAGAGGTGCTACTTAAATTTAGTTCTTACAGCATGCCCCTTCAGAGCTGGCTAACCACAGAAAGAAGGTTCAGAACCCTAGAAAGATGAGAACCTCTTCTGTACTGTAGAAGTGCTATATTACACACAAGTTTAATTCTGCCACAGCACAGGACCTGAGGGGTTTCATAGAATCATAGAATAGTTAGGGTTGGAAAGGACCTTAAAATCATCAAGCTCCAACCCCCCTGCCATGGGCAGGGACACCTCACACTAAACCATGGCACCCAAGGTTCTGTCCAACCTGGCCTTGAACACTGCCAGGGATGGAGCATTCACAACCTCCCTGGGCAACCCATTCCAGTGCCTCACCACCCTCACAGGAAATAATTTCCTCCTTATATCCAATCTAAACTTCCCCTGTTTAAGGTTGAACCCATTACCCCTTGTCCTACCACTACAGTCCCTAATGGAGAGTCCCTCTCCAGCATCCCTATAGGCCCCCTTCAGATACTGGAAGGCTGCTCTGAGGTCTCCACGCAGCCTTCTCCAGGCTGAACAGCCCCAACTTTCTCAGGTTTGCTCTGTCATCACTGCACATACTTACAGCGAATGCCCAGGAGCAGAGAGAGGTTGGGATCCTTGCCCTGGGCCCTCTGAGTGACAATGCTGTAGACAGACTGCAAATCCTGCAGGCAACTGGCCAGCTCGCTGTGCAGGTCCTGGGCCAGGCGGGCTGTCTCAGCAGGCAGTGGCTGGGTTGTTAGCTCTGCCTGACGGAGCCGTTCCTGAAGGGTCAGGTTCTTCTCAATGAGATCCTGGTTCTGCACTGAGAGCTGAACAAATGGGCACAGCAGGTTAGTGGTGACCTGGTTTAGAACTAGTACACTTAGAACAACTTTACACAAGTGCTCGATGATGATGGGAGCACTGAAGGCAGGAGGAGCTGGTTTGTATCAAGCCCGCCAGACTCTTGCCAGGTAAGCAAGAGTCAGTGTTACAAGGTCTAGGGGAAAATTCTTCATCTAGACAGTGATCAGGCATTGGAACAGGCTTCCTAGGGCAGTAGTGGAATCACCATCCCTGGAAGTGTTAACACCCCCCCCCCCCCAACATACAGATGAGATGCTTAGTGCCATGGTTCAGTGGTGGCCTTGGCAGTGCTGGGATAATGGTTGGACTTGATGATCTTAAAGGTCTTTTCCAACCTGGCTAATTCTATGATTCTAATCTAAGGTGTGAGCATTCAGCTTTCCTGGCTCAGACAGGAAGCACCCCATGACACTACACCATCCCTGCTGAGACATCATGCAACAAAATAAGCTTCCAGGAGGTTGTTCACCAGTTGCTCACCCCAACACGGGCCATCCCTTCCCTCAAGGGCTGCCACTGTGCTTGGCTTCCTTCAGGCTTGAGAGTAGGGCTCAGCCCTGCCCTTCAACCAGGGCTGTGGGCCAGGTTGGAGCCCTGCTCTCTGCCGTGCTGCCCCCAGCTGGCAAACTCAGCAAGCTTAAACCCAAGGCAGGAACTGCCTTTCTCCTCCTGCTTTTGAACAGAGAAGAGCTCCTTTCAGAGCAGCTGACTAGCAGGAAGCAGGAGAGGTTGTGTTGCTGACTGCAAATTAAGGGCCTAGCTAAAAGACAATTTCTCGTTCATTCATGCTATGCTCAGGCACTCAGCACTCCAGCTCTGACCTCTTTCACAGCGGCCCGGAGCTGCTGCAGTGCATTCTCTCTTCTCACTGTCTCCTCTTTCAGAGCTTGGCTTGTCCCCTCTTCCTGGGTCACCTGTTCTTCCAGGTTCTGGAACAGACCATGGGTAGTAGTCAGTCTAACTCACATCACAGCAGATTTTTGAGTTCTAGGTCCCTCCACAGTCACCTCTCACCTTTACTTGCAAGGACAACTGCTCTGCCTTCTTCTGCTGTTTGTCCACAATCTGGAATCAAAAGCAGAAGCATCAGAACTGGCCACACAAACTCAGTAATTCCACCAGGATTTCTCCTGCAGTAAGAGAGCATCCCCTCTCCTCCCTTTTCCTGTCCATTTACTGCTTTAATCACTGCTTCTGTTAGTAGTGGATTCCCCAATGAAAGACACCTGATAAAAGGCACCATTAGAAGTATCAGCTAAATACAAGACTGGACAAGTTGCATTCATGTGGTTTTCTTCTCCCCCTTTCTGCATTCTGCAGCTTGTCTCCAGTGTTAACTGCAGGAAACCACAGTTATCGCACCAAGAACAGCTAAAAACCCTCAGCCTGGAATTCCAGGAACTGCTGCCTCAGTACAGCAGTGACTGCAAAGGTCCCTGATTTCATTTTTAGTGCCTGCTGTGACTCAGTGGAAGGGAAAAGGTGTGATTCCCAGCTGGGACACTGTTACCTTCCTGAGGCGGTCACATTCTTTCTTCAGAGAGTCATTTTCTATCTTCTGTCTCTCGCCATCCTGGGCAGAGGCTCCTCTCTCTGCATTCTTCACACACTGCTGCACCTTGTCCTGCAAGCTGCAATTGGCAGAACACCATGGGAAAACTGGCTTTATTTAGGGTGTCTCCCTCACTATGAGGGGGCAAAGGACTTTCATCTCAGGTGTCAGTGTTGCCAGGGCTATGACAGAAGTTTCCCTTCCTTGGACAGAGCCTACCCATAATATTGGCACATTTGCAGAGACAACAATTGCAGATTAAGTAGG